TTTGAATGTTGAGGCAGAGTATTGACTTTCCATTTTATAAGAAATGCAACATGTACAACATTCTGGCACTGGCTGAGTTAGGAAATCTTCGTTGTTGAAATCTATTGTGAGAATGGTTTCCAATTAACATAAGTTCTTGTAAGATGAACTTTTCTAGGAAAAGGCACCCCTACTGAGAATTAGCTTGGATTGGAAAGGCTGTTCTCATTGTTATTGATCTTGTACTTTGGTATGGGATTCCTGTCTACTGGACAGAGGAGGGGAGCAAAGCCTTCAAAAATTATAAAATCAGCCCCTTTCCAGGTGATACGTTGTCTACAGGACCTAGTTTTCCAGAGGAGTCTGGTTTTATCTCCACCGAACAGTCTGTTCAGGCCCCACTGTGCCCCTGTTCCCACTTCGAATTCCTCATTCTTCCTGAGCCTGTGGCTCATGCCATCTGTTGGCACAACGTGGGTTTTATTCCAGCTTTGTGATGTGCGAAACTCATACACGTTCGAAATCTCTTGAGAGAGGAGCTTCTGAACCCAGAAAGTCAATCCCACAGCACCCAGGCACGTTACCACGACCTGAGAGATTTCTGCCTGGTGCTCTTTTGTGGTGATTTGATGACATGTGACCTGTTGCCAGTGTCTCCTGGGAAGCGGGTGAGAACTTTTAAATGCATGAACCTTTTCCAGTCAGAGTTGTTCAGGGATTTTCAAACTTCCATTTTGGAAAGGAGGGATAGTCATTTCAGTGAGATTGTGGTCTGGTGGCTAGACCTTGTGACTGGGAGTCATAGCCAGAGAGCTCAGATTCTTTTCCAAACTTTCCCCCCAAAACTTGAGTCTGCTTGTGATGATTCCATCCATAGCGTTGCCTTTTGCCACTGAATACACTTTCCTACGTGATCGTGTTTGGCTGTGTCTGGATTCAAGGCCCAGCAAAGGTGGGGTCCTTTCTGACACGGTCTCCAGGTCTTTACACATTTATCCCCTAAGCTAAAGATGGCAAACTGTGGCCCAGGGCCTAGAGTTGGCTGGCCACCTGTTTTAAGATGGCCTGTGAGCTAAGAATGATTTTTATTATTTTTAAACGGTTGGAAAAAAATCAAGAGAAAGATATTTCTTGATCCAGGATGATCATGAAATCCAAATTTCAGTGTCTGTAGATAAAGTTTTGCTAGAACATAGCCATGACATAATAAAAATATACACACACGTATTACCTGTGTGGCTGAGTCGAGTAGTTCGGACAGAGATGGTATGTGTTGCAAAGCCTAGGATATTTATTATCTGGCCCTTTAAAGGAAAAGTTTGCCAGCCCTGCCCTGAACAAATAAAGGGACAGACTCTACTTGCCCACCCACGAAAGGAAGTGCCAGGAAGCCGCTTTGGTGTTTTATCAAGGATGTGGAGTTTCCTGGCAGGCTTTTTCATTATCATCGTCATTGTCCTTTGAGTTGACCTGTTTGTTTAGGAAATAAGACTCAGCAGCTCTCAGGTGGCAGGTTCTTCGAGCAGCCCTTCCAGCAGCCCTTCCTCGCCGTTCTTGCTGCTGAAGCTGGGTTCACGAGGATGGGGTGACTTCCTGGGAGCAGGTTTTGTCAGGTCTACCAGATCCCGGAGGCGCCTTCTGATTCGGAAGAATGCTCCCCGTTTGCCTTCCTTTCTTTTTTATTGGGGGAGTTGGAGGAGGAGGAATTCGAGATGTGTATCTTTTTCTTTTTGCTGACAATTTAACAGGCTTTTAAATTGCCTTAATTCCTTTCAGACTAATGGTGTTGTATATGTTTCTAGACTTTGTCCACAGGTCCAGAGCTTAACTTAAGCTCCCTGAGACATATTATAAAATATGATTTGGGGGGAAAACCCTGATGGGCCATGAGCAGAACATTATTATTAAGCAAAGGATGAAACGCTTAAACCGAGATTCCCCATCCCCCAAGCCCCCCCTTTTAACAAAATGAAAGTCGAGCAAGACTCCATTTCAACAGTTTTCAATGCAGGAATTCCCACAGCCCTATTTGATTGCAGTTTGTTGAAAAGTTTAATGTTTTTGTAGGCAATTCATAATTTCCATGTCGAGCAGCCTGAAAGGAAGAAAGCTGGAGCCCAGTGTTGTTTTTATAGTGGGATGGTGGGAACTTTCCTTTTTTTTCCCCCCAAAAAGGATATAAAACCGAAGTTGAACTATTGGGAAAATGTGGCATGGCTTTCGAACTGCTTCATAAATCCGAGATGCTGCTTTCTTCAGGCCCTTCCTCTAGGGCCCAACAGAATAGAATTTCCTGCTGCTTGATGTCTCCACGAAGGAAGAGATTTTCCTTTAGGCTATAATAGTACTGAATTTCCTTTTTCTCCCCTTTATTTATTTATTTTCCTTATTAATAAGGACCGATTGTAGAAGATGAAGAGGCCTGGGAAATCCATCACTTTGGGAGGAGGTTAATAACTTCCTTTAAAAAATCCTGACATAATACTTACTTCTCCAAAAGGAACCTCGTCAACCTGAATGCCAGTTGAGATCCAAGGGGGGAACGGGCACTGCTTTGCGGGGACCCCGCCGTTCTGTGGGATCAGGTTGCGCTGGGACGGAGAGGTTGGGGCTGTCACCGTAGAGTCCCTTCAAGTCGTTGGGGGTGGGGCTGTCTTTCTCTGCCATCTGGATTTGGTTAGCTCTCTCTGGGCAGCGGGGCCGAGTCTCATTTCCTCCGCCCAGTAATGTTATATAGGCAGTGGTCCGGGGCTGCCCTAACATAATTGAAAATTATGTGTATTGCAGGCTCGGAGCACTGAAATGTAGGCCCATAAAAATATGTGGTGCAGGTAGCCTGCGGAGATTGGATATGGCACACAATGAAGCTCTTATGTAAAGTAAGACTTATAAGTCTCCACATTAATATTGCATTATGGATATGATGATTCTTGGGTGGGGTCCGCAGGGCAGGTCTGTCACCTTTAAGAAAGCCTACATGTCCGAATTCTGTGGAGCCGTTGCTTGCATGCAGTCAGATCAGTTTTGCAGATGGCCAAAGATGAGAACCTGTCCATTAACCTAACCCTCCGCACCGAGGGTCGCACGGGGTGTAGGTGTGTCGCAGACTCCGCGTTTTTCTTCACAGGTTTTTGACGTGGAGGGGTGAGTGTTGGCGGGCGTTCGTTTTGGTCGGCCTCAAGGAAATGACTCTATTGAGTGGTTTTTGACCGTTGAGGCCCATATATTTATGTGGCAAGTGAGAATGGGAAGAAGTCAGGATGAGACAGGGCAGCCTAGATTCCCACAGCCCTCTGGCTGGGGTTATAGGGCTGAGGGAAACCATGGGAACAGTTATTCAGTGCTTCTCAACTCAGGATGTTATTATTCCCGAAAAAGGTGTTTGGAAATGGTTTGATTATAAGGGTGACTTGGGGAGGGGGGATGCCTGCTGACGTTTACTGCCTGGGGGCCCGGAATCCTAGAGATTCTTAAGTGCTTGAGACAGCTCTGCACCTGTCCCACCACGGATAGGACAGATTACAGATGAAAAACCAAAGGTCTACAGACGCAAGGGGATTTGATGCAAGGTCTTGTGGCAAGTTACCGGAAGTGGTGACCCGTTTTCCTCAGCATGCTTCTCGGTAGAAGCCCTGACGTGGTAGAAGTCTCTCCCTTCTTGTACAGATCTAGGTTGGGGAAATGACTGTACTTCAGTAGGTCACTCATAGGTTAGGACCTTCCAGCTTTATGTGTCACTGAGTTTGGTTTTAATTCACCAGACAGTTGTATCTTTGAAGAACTCATGAAAAAGCTTGAGGGTGGCTTTGGCCCTTCTGTGTCACATGCGATTTGAGCAAACCCTTCCTTCTCTTTGGACTGCCCTTTGCTGTCTTTTTTTTTTTCTCTGTCGAAATCTTTCTGACTTAAGACTGTTCAGCCTTCTCCAGTCTCTTTTCTTAGAAATGCCACCTTCTCTCTTGGCATTCCCTAGGCATAATTTGAAGTTTTCCTGAGTGAAACTGGTGCAGTGTCACCAATAGTAGTCAAGTACCCAGGAATTGCTTATACTCGTGCTAAGTATCTCTGTGACTGGACAAACCACCTTACCTCAGTTTCCCTTATCTGCATGGTGCAGAGTTTGATCGATTGATTGTTCAGGTCCCTCCGAAAGCTGATGTATTACTTTTGGCAGAAGTAGCTCCCTTTCCCGTGTACCATGTATTCATTTTCTATCTCAGAGAAAAGTGTAGATACCATGTAATCGGCTGATACCTTTATTTTTCTCTCCGTGGTAAACCTGTACCTATTGAAGAATTTCTCTGGCCTTTCGAGATGAGCGTATAAATTTCATCGTGTCCTGTCTGTGCATCTTTTACCAAGAAATATTTTTGTTTTATAAAATTTTGAGTTGGGCGAGGAACTCCACCACCACCTTACTTGAGTAACTTCTAGCAGAGGACAGTTGCCCACGTGTACTCAGCTTTCTTTGAAGTGAAGGATGATGGCGTTTTAGAAACAAAGGTTCCAGAAAGAACAGATTTAGAATTGATGGTCTCCTAGCATGACACCAGGCTTGAG